CTCGCTGCCCGCCTTCGGGTGCCCGCTTCCCTTCAGCGTCTCTCTCCGCCCGCTCAGGCTCCTACGCGCCCCTGTCCGGGGCCAGACACGCCTGCGCTGCGGGAGACGAGCCCGTGCCGCCGGGCGAGGCGTACCGCCGCCCCCGCGGGAGCTCCCCGCCCCCGCGCCGCCGTTTCCCTGCTCCCGGCGCGCTCGGCCCTGTAAAGGGTGGCAGCTGTCCGTAGTGGCGGGGGCTCCCGTGCTAATGCAGTTTGAACGGAGCCCGAAAAGCCTTCGTTTCTCCAGCCAAGGCGCTGGAAACCTGCTCCAACAAGCCGGGGGTTTGCGTCTTTTTGTCAGCTCCAGTCGGGATTTTTCTGGTTTGGGAGGTAGCGTCTTCGATAAGTTTTATTTCAACAACTGTGATAGTTATTTTCTCCTTCAAAACACATTATTTCATATGCTTGGGAGCGGACTATAGGGTTTATACTTTTTTTCATTTTCTGTCATTAAAAATAGCTTGCTTTTCATGGCGTACCTTGTTTAGATTTTAGCAGAAAGTGAAAGGTCTTAGTTTGACTTTGAGTTAATGCTAGACTATTTTTTTTTTCCTCAGAAGTGGGTTTAATAATATGACCTTAGTTAAGGTTCTCTTGTCTAGAGCTGTAGGTTTTTAACGTTTATCTGATCTCCCGTGGGAAACCAGCTATTGCATATTTCTTTCGTTATGCTGAAGCAGCAGGATTTCTTAAGAAATCTGGGCAGACACAAAGATAATCAACACCCTTATGTATGAAGACAGGTGCAGATACAGGCTTGGATTGTGCAATGGGGGGGAAAAAATCTTGAATGCACCATAATACGGAAAATTTAAACAGAGGCTGCTGTGAAAAGATGCTGTTGTGTGATTATGAAACCATAGCTTAGAAATGTCCACCCATGCTGAACAAGTAATTGAACACAAATCTCAAATGGAAGAACAGCAGGAGAAGGCTTTTCTTTAGGAGGGGACTATTGCTGTTGAATTATTTTGATATGTGCATAGATATTCATATGGTTTTATTGCCGAAAAATAAGTAGTTAATACAGAACTGAAGTTGCCTGGTGATATTTTGTTGCCTAGTATAATACAAAACTTGGCAAAACTGGAGCTGATTTATAAAAAAAAAAAAGGGAGGATACAACGTTTTAGTTGTTTAGTTATGTATAGCGTAATGTTTCTGCCTTTTAAGGCTGACAGGATCCCCTGATCGTTCTACACTCATTTTAGCTATGTTTATTTTGTTGGCGATAACTGAATAAGATGATGCCTTAGTTGAGGCATCTTGGCAGATAGAAGATTTCAATACAAGTATATGTGGGAGAACCAGTCACTTCAGTAACATGGAAAGGATTTTTTTAATTCAGTGATGGACAAGTGAAAACCTAGTTTTAGATGGAATCTTACGGGTAGAAGTGTAGATTTGTAAGAAGCAGTCAAAATTTTGCAGATGCAGTCTCTGCGGAGAAGATTTACAATATGTGCCCAAATTATTGCATGTCAGCAGAGCTGCATTGTTTGAATGTGTGTACTCCATCTGTGGC